TTTAGATAATCATAAAAGTAGTCTTTTGAAGATTTGACCATAAATGTGGCTTTCGGGTGGTCTCAAAATTTCCGGATGTGGGGATGGGACCCCAACCATTATCCATATAAGACGTGGGTCCAGCGGTAGTGAGGAATGAACAGGGACCGAAGCGACAGCGAGTTAATGTAAGGGTCCTTTTCCGCGTCCGGAACTTAGTACAGCTAAGTAAGAAATCGTATTGTTGCTACTTCACAACCAGAGAGTTTTGAAAAACAAATATCTTCATTTTTTGGTGAAAGCGATCACGGCCAAGAAGACAAGTCTGTGCACACAGCGAGTTAGGTGTGTATGCAAATACAATCAACCTTGGATGTCATCACAGACGCAGTGAACGACGGACGATCGGAGAACGGTGTCACAAAACTGTTGTGATTGTTCAACCCCTACAGAGCCCCACCTGAGGTTTGTATTGCAACTATGCTGAGCAGATTCTAATTACAGTCACTGGTAGAGAATGCATAATCTATCATGATCAGCACTTTGAACAACGCCAGCTCACTCAGATCCTCGGTCACGATGACTTACGACTTTGTGCTAGCTCAAGAAACGACGGCTTCTGAACAGTTCCGTCTATCCAATTTCACCCACACGCACTTTGCTAAGGTTCCGCACGCTGCGGTCGCCTCCCTAGATTGATAAAAATCAAGAAGCGACCTTCCTGACAAATCGACCATAGATTCGAACCCGGGTTTCATGGTCGAAAATCGAACATGCTAAATGCGCATGTGATAATAAGCGTCTCGTAATGAGAGAAATACGTAATCCTTTTTTTTTCTCCTTTTAGCCAAAAGAGTTCCAATGACTCTGGAAATGGTCGAGCATTATTTAAAAACTAACCACTAGGTCACAAAGTGATATATTTGGATGTGCTGACATGTATATTATTTTTGTTATATTACTTACTAACTAGCTGAATATAGTTACATAGTCCACTGAAAGATACATAACTGTTCTAAAAATTAGAGTTTAAAAATTCCTCTTAAAGTGTTATGCTTTAACAAGTATGTTTTCGAATGGGGTCTGGACGAACTTATATAACTATCTTTGGCGGTAAAGCGTTAACGGCTGTCCATATTTCATGTCTGTACAATCACAACATTCAAGCATTCTCGAACAGACTCTGTTCTTTTTTCAGAGTCTATTTTAACATTAGCTTATTAGCATTACGGAGTTCTCCATATTTTTGAGCATAGGCTGCGAGCGCAATTTTTATATCTGTAAAAGTATAGCCCGGCCTGATAATCTCTCATCGAAAAAGGGTGGAACTCGAGTAGCAGTGATACTGTTCTTTTGATATAGTTTCATTCACATGTGAATTTTACCACCACACACATATATATATATATGGGGTGGTAATATATATATATATATATTAATCCTCTATTTTAATATATTTAATATTGCGCACTATATATAAAAATATCTGCTGTTTCTTAAATCTTATATATATATATATATATATATAATTATTTATTCGAAAATTATAACATAAATATGTTATAAAATCACTACAAAAATAGCCATTTTGTTTCAACACTTCTGGTGTCTTATCAAGTGATGGTGTTGAATTGAGCACTCTTTTAAGAATAGTATTTGTTGGTTATTGGAATTTATTCCGAATATATCAATCCTATACTTGTATATATATATATATATATATATATATATATATATATATATATATAAAAGAGAACATGTAAAGAGAACAGTATTCATGCTATATATATATATATATATATATATATATATATATATATATATAGTATGAATACTGTTCTCTTTACATTTTATAATTTTTGCTGGTATAGTTTTATTTTATTTATATTTGAATTCTTACACCAAATACACGCACACACATGTGGGGGGGAGTAGGGGTATATGTGTGTAAAATATTCAGATTACTTGGAACGACGTAATGGTGCTACTCAATACATTGGTCAATATGCCCCACATGCAACCTCCCTCGCAAAGAGAACCGGTGGGATCACATACTGTACAGATTGAAGAGGTTACCATTCTCTGGAATTTCAATGTTCAGACTGATAAGGAAATTCAATCAAATCGACCAGACATTATTGTGAAAAATCATGTTGAAAATACATGTATTCTAATAGATGCTGTAGCCCCTGCCAACAAAAGCAAGTATTTTAAAACGTTTGCGAAACTGATCCAGTAAAATGATCACGAGATAGAAACTAGTACCAATATGGCATCTGAAGATAACAGCATTACGTGTTGCTAATGGAATTATATCAAAAGGAACAAACAAATATGCAGAACAAATTCCTGGCAACCCTAAAATACGTGAATTGCCAAAAAATCATACAAGGATGCTTCTCGTGTCTTACGTTGATTTCTCTCCATGCAGTGACTATAATTATATTTTCTTTCTGGTTGCATGGCACCTCATCTGTTTGGATCTGCTGTTAGAAAAACAATCTGTTGTCTCTTGAAGTCTTTAGAGGAGGAATTCGTACGACACAAAAGAAAGGCAAAACAACTACAAAACATCTACAATAATAATAATAATAATTCTCTAATTTTTAGCAAAATTCTTCATTGCGTTTTTCCTTTCATATCTATTTCTGTAGAACAAAGGAACGCTCTGATGTCCAGAAAATGACTCAACCGTCCATTCGACAATTCTATCAGAATCAAAAGGAATTTGAGGACAATTTTTCCAAGGAACAGGTAAATAAATGATTTGAAATTAAATCCACTTCAACATATGCCCCGATTACATGAATTGAGGCATGCTACTAGATTGGTATTTAGGTCCCACCCTTTTGCCACTTCTACCCCAGCTGTTTCTTTATTCGCACTTCCCACCTGTGGAATTCCCTTCCGTTTACATGCTTCTCTCAACTACAATCTTCAAAAATTTAAACGCAACATAAATCTCCATCTTCGTGAATCCCGTTCATGTTTTTGTCCTTTCCTCCTTTTGGGTATGACGATAAATTACATCTGACACTAAAGCTTGTGATTGGGAGCTTTTGAGGAGTGTGAAACCACCTATTAATTGCTGTTGATCCTGTTAAGCCCCCAGCTATGAGTAAATAGTTAAGTCCCAAACTAGGACCAAAACACTATAAAGATTCCTATAGTAAAATTTACAGTAATACATTGTTGAAAAAAAATTTACCAGCAATACATTTGACAAAAGCATTCTTTACAAAAATACGTCAATGAAACCTTGACCTACAAACTGATTTCTTACAAAGAGTAACACCTTGTGTCTTAGTGGCTTTACTGCCTTGCTTAGGGTGATCTCGATGTTTTTAAAAAGTCTTGAAAGTTCCTGCGCCGTGATAGAAATATTATAAGGTTTGTGGTCCGTGTTGTGGGGGAGACACGGTGGAGTAATGGATAGCGGCTCGGATTGAGAAATCGGTGAACCGAGTTCGAATTCCAGTCGAATCCATTACATTCACTTACGTGCAAATACCTTTCTTTTCCCGCCAGCTATGGGTAAATAGCAGGACAGACCGGGTTCTCGGATGCAACTGGTCTACCACAGAAAGTAACCTAATGCGGGTAAAAATCTGCCTCGTCAGTCATGTATCGAAAGATACATAATCGCCTAAGCGTGTATCACGTATGACATATAACTGACTGACTGTGAAGTCAGGTAAGGGGTGGTTCTTATCGTTTAACGTAGAGTTAGAGGCAAAGTTCATTGCAAAGAGCCTTACTGTGTCATACGAGAATGTAATAACTTAAGGACCATTTATGATTGCTGACATAGACGCTATGCTTCTATACTGATTTTCCAAGCGTAGCTTAGATGTGGCACAAGGCCGAAAGTAGGGGCACCAAGTGAGTATCGAACTCACAACTCACTCGTAATTGTTCTAGCGAGACGAGCTTGCTAATCATTACGCCACGACGAGGCCCCCTTGTTATTTTCCAAGCGTAGCTTGGATGTGGCACAAGAACAAAAGTAGGGGAAACCCGGTGAGGATCGAACTCACTACTCAGTCGTAATTATTTTAGCGAGGTAAGCTTGCTAACCATTATACCGCTGTGAGGTACCCAAATGCTATGTCTCTATTGAGAATATTATTCGAGATTTTCCGAAAACTAACAGGAACAAATTTATTTTCAACCTTGGCTTGAACTGACTTTGCTGCTCTTTGCGTTTTCTAGAACTCTCTTGTAATGATGGTGGGTAATTCGGAATACCGTAAGAGACCTACTGTACCGTTATCTGTGGTAGAGATGATAATAATGCTTACGGTGGGACATGTCTGCAGCAAATTCTGGTATGAACCAGACTTGGTTGTTTAGTTTCTGTTGGTATTTTTTCTTTAGGATGAAACTGTCCATTCAGAGATGAAGGAGACAGTTCTTCTTTTCGAAGAAATCTAGGAGAAGGAATTCAGGTAAGGTAAGGCCCTTATCGTCTAAATTAAAGTTCATTGCAAAGAGCCTTACCGTGTCATATAAATGTATAATAAACTATTTATGAGAGCTAGCACATTGTGAAGCTGTCCCAGTCAGCTTTGGCGTACCGAACGATCATTGTGCGAAATGGTACATCACACGCTTTCGGTTTTGCTTCAACTTTAACATTGATCAGCGAATGCTCAGAAGAGACAAAGGGAGAGTATACTTTATGGTTTTTTTCTTCGGTCTATCCCAATTGTTTGCGTCTCTCGTGCTCAGTAAGCAAACATTCTGAATCGTTTAGTGCTGGGACTGACCGCGGGTAATACCCTAGTAATTAACTGAATGCTCATGCTATCCCCTACCTTTCATCATCATCATCCTTCGACCTCCCTATGGAATCCCTTTTCCACACTGTTCGGTTCTGTATTGCTGTCCCCAGATCCTCAATGTCCAACCATGATCCCCGAGCTATGGTGTCTGGGAAAATCAATTTTCGTGTGAAGACATTTCAAGAAGGAAGCCATATGAGTAAAGATGAGACGATTTCCCTGTCCGCTCGGTGGTAGTGGCCGGCAAACTCGTATCTCTTATTCTTCTCTCTCTCTCTCTCTCTCTCTCTCTCTCTCTCTCTCTCTCATTTCTTCATATATCATCATCATCATCATCCTCCGATCTCCCTATGGTTGGTCGGAATTCCTTTGACAATCCCTTTTCCACACTGTTTGGTCCTGTATTGCCGTCACCAGATCCCCAATGTCCAACCCTGAGTCTCGAGCTAGGGTGTGTGCAAAAATCAATTTTCGTGAGAAGACACTTCTAGAAGGGTAAGGATTAGACAATTTCCCTGTCCGCTCGGTGGCAGTGGCCGGCAAACAGTAATCATTTTTGTTTGAGCTTAAGAGAGATTGCTCTGTAATTTGTGTAAAGTGTTGCATGAGATCTCCAACTGATGTTGCGGATTTTTCTAAGTAGATTTGTATATGTTTCATCCAGTCGTCTTTCAAGACGAGCTGATAATTGCCAAGTTTCTGATCCGTGCAGCAGAACCGGTTCAATCAATGTTCGAAAGGTTTGGATTTTTAAGAAGAGTCAGATCATGTCAAGAATGGAGTATTGTTGTCATATTCGGGCGGGAGATACCCAAACCTCACTCTTCAGCCTTGATAGGGTCCAAAAGCCCTTGTGGGTAACAAATTATTATCCACTCTCCAACCTCTCTCTCACAGGTGGGATGTGGCAAGCCTCTATCGCTACTTCCATGGAAGGTTCCGCCAGTTTAACCACTGATCTATGGAACTGACTCTCAATAGGATGTTTCCCCGATCACTACAGTTTTAACCTTTTCAAGTCTATAGTTAACCGTTATCTTCCCGCCTATCCGCACAAATTGCTTTTTAACATAACCCTTTACCTTAAGTGGCCCCGGGCCTTGTACAAGGTGAACCTTACTGTTAAAAAAAAAGGTGGAAACCACTGTATAAATAATTTATCATTATCTTTTAAAATAGTGATAACATTTCAGAACGATATTCATTTTTTTTATATTGCTAGAAAGAATATCTAGAATGCCTTGGAAAATTTGAAGTCGCTCAAAAGAATCTGATGTCGCTTATGGATGAAATCAATCAACTCACCGAAGAAGTAACGGACCTCCACAAAGAAAACCAAACACTGCAAGGATTATACAACCAACAAGACGAGTTTCTAGGTAAGAGGAATACACATCGGGTATATTCGTATAAAGGTCGATATAATAACAAATTTGATAACTCCTTAATTTTTAACAAAATTTAATTGTGATTTAACTTAAAATATGGGAAATACTAAAAGCTTACCTCCTTAACAAGAATAAAGTTCTGGATTGCACTGGAGGACAAAGAGGCTATTTTTGATGGAGGACAAAAATGTCAGTTAATTAATTGTCACTGGACTCTGGAGGCTCCCTTAGGAAGTCCCGGTGATGTATTGAAATTTCTGTAACACATTTTGTTTTTTGTTTTTTCTCTTTATCCTTTTCCAGTGTGGAGTTGCCATATGTTAATACCTAAGCACCTACTGATGTAACTCAGTTTTACCTCATGTTTGGGTCATCACCAACTAAACCGGTTCCCCCACCAGGCTTTACTGAGTGACGTAGCTAGACGCCCAGCAGGATTAAAAACAAAACCTGTAAGAGGGTGGATGAACCTTCTTGTAGGGTCAATAGGCTGGGGCTCCATAGCTATGGATGCAGACAGTGAAGTGATAACATGGCATCGCTGGACAGAGGGTTTCCTAGACTGAAGTAAGAAGCCAGGTTTTCCTCGATGAAATCAACTGCCATATGGCCATGACCAAGGCGAGCCTTGAAGTGGGAAACCGGCTCTGGTTTGTCCTGGAAAGGGATGGGCTTCGCCAGGTCTACTTTGTTTAGGGCATGTCATGTATGAATGTATAATTCTTTGGCTTTCAAGTACTAAATGGAGAAGCAAGCCTATGACCACAATGGGTCATGAAACTCGGTCCGATGAAGACGACGACGACGATGATGACCATGATGATGGCGATGATGATGATGACGATGATGACGAAGAGATGATGACGATGATGATGGCGATGATGATGATGACCATGATGACGAAGAGATGATGACGATGATGATGACCATGATGACGATGATGACGATGATGATGGCGATGACGATGATGACGATAAGATGATGACGATGATGATGGCGATGATGAAGACGATGCCGATGATGATGATGGCGATGATAATGATGATGACGAAGGTGATGATGACGGCGAAGACGACGACGACGACGATGATGACGACGATGATGATGACGACAACGACGATGACGATGATGATGACGACAACGACGATGATGATGACGATGATGATGACGACAACGACGACGATGATGATGATAACTGAATTAACAATCCTTTCACCCATACATTATTTTTTCCAGGACTTGGGATTCTTTTCCTTTTTCCACTTGTCAAAGTAACAATCGCTTAGATGGACAACATTTACATAGCCAGAAGGTAGCCATAGCTAGAACAGGAATGGGTTCATGCCTTCCCAGAAATATATATGTGCAAAATGAACACAAGCAGTGCCAAACGAAACTCGACCTGTTGGCCAAATCAATTTTCCGCGCCATTGCCGCATCCCCAACCAATTTATGAAGAATCAAAATCAATTATCAATAGGATTGCCATCCGTCCTGCGAAAATGCCAAATTGTTTCACATTTTAATGATAAAGGAGATGTGCTGCATTAATTGATACAGAACGCGTTCTTGTCTCATATTTTGAGAATCGATGGTTCATTTTAAAAATTATGCCTTCATTTTCCTTTTATTTACAGTTATTCATTAAACCAGTTACCTCTGTTGAAATTAAAGGTATATTTTTTCAAAAAGAATAGACCCTTAATCAAAATAAAAAGACAAGTATTCATTGAACAGATCCTTTTATTCAATATAAAGATACCTCTATTCAATTTAAAGAGACCTTTATTTAAAAAAAAGAATATGCCCTTATTCAAAATAAAAAGACCTCTATTCATTGAACAGGTCATTTTATTCAATATAAAGGTAGATATCTGTCTATATCTCTGAGATGAGGTATTATCATTACTTACATTATATTGCATTATTCGGACTGTTATCTTCGTCTTCATTGCCATATTCAAAACGTTTTGGCTGTTCTACGCTCCAGACATCTTCTATGAAGGAAAAAGGGTGATCACTGTCCTCCTGTGGGATGAGGTTGAGATAATAGACAGAGAGCATCACTGAAAAATACGAAAACTTAAGGAATCAGCACATATGCTACGCCACAAAAATCTCCTGAGCCAAGCAAGCATAGAAATGAATACAATATGGGAGCCAGTAATAAGGAGTGCTAGAGAAAAGCAATGAATAACAACACAAAAATTGCAATATAAGCTCTGGTAAAAAAAATTTGCAATAATAATAACAGAAAAATTGCAATATGAGCACTGGTAAAAATGGTTGTGCGACATTATGTTTATAAGCCCCCAAAATACTTACAACAGATGTCCTCAAGGTCACATGGCCCAGTGGATAAAAACGTTGTTTAGATCTACTGATTAGACCCAAAGAGTTGTGAGTTCAATACCAGGCCACAACTCAACTCAACTCAACTCAACCTTAAACTTAGAGAGTTGAGTTAAAGTGAAACCTCCGGAAGAGGCATGGCACGTTGAACTAGAACAGTCGATCCGAAATTCCAATCACCTGAAGAATGTGGATGGAACGTTGCCGAGACATTGTGCATATGGCAATAAGTCTGAATAATGTAAATAATGCAAATTAAAGAGACCATTATTAAAATGAAATTGACCTTAATCAAAATAAGAAATCTATTCGTTTTTAATTGAAGTGCGACACGGCAGCATTTTTCGATTGACGAGCTATAAAGGAGAGACTGAATTTGTGTCATTTCCTTTCATTACAACGCTACCGAATGGGTGTTAAGAGAAGTATCTTGACAGGCAAAGTGGGATAACCCAACAAGCTTCAAATCGAGCCCCCAACACTTCATACACAACCAATTTGTGTAAATACTTGGTGTTTCAGAGAAAATGATATCATTTTGTAATCTAATAACTTCACCAATTCTTGTTCAAATGATCTCAAATTTTAAGAGCATGTGTAGAACCACGTCAAAATTCTATGTTTAATGTTTTATTTCTTTTCTTATCAGGTGTAGAAATGTTATACACTGTAAAAGAGAAGACGTTTTGTTTGTTAGAGTAAGACTCGAACACAGTCGAATAATGCAGCATGCATTTGTGAAAGAATTAACTAAAAATGCACCAACTGCAATGCAGATTTGGACATAGCACAAAATGTTCAAAGATCAAGGTCTTCTGTGCAGGGCAAATGGATCAGGACGAGCACCAGTATCGGAAGACATAGTCGAGCGGGTTTGGGAAATATTTTTGCAAAGCCCGAGGAAGTCTATAACAAGCGCAAGTCTAGTAACACAGATTCCAGCAACGAAAGTTTGGCGTGTCGTCAGGAAACGCTTGCGAATGACACGCTAAAAGCTGTAACTTGTTCAGATCTTAAAGACAAGCAAAAGCGAAAGTAATTCTAGGGTCGGGTTGTCGATATGCAAAAGAAACTTTAAGAAGGCGTGTTTGAAGAACGTCTTGTTTTCAGTGATGAGGTCACATTTCATACAAATGGCAAAATCAACATGTATAATATTCGCATTTGACTTGACGTGTACCGTGTTAAAGGCAGTGGGCATATTGAAAACTTGTTAAATCGTTCATGAACATCACATACATTTGAATTTCTCATACAATCTGAAGCGAATTGAAGCGCAGTACTAAATTGGTGTCTAAATCTAATAATTTTACAATTGAAATGGCTAAATGTAACCGTAAGTTCTATGTCAACAGTTTCTTCTCTCGCACTTCTTGCTTCAGGAACTCTCTTCCAACTTCGTGGTTTCCAGTCAACTTTGATCTTCCCAAATTTAAATGCAATGTCAATCGTTATCTTCTGTCTTCTTAATTCCAGTACTTTTATTGTCCTCTCTCATTAATAGTAGTTTTTCTCATATTCTCTAACAC